CCAGCCACAATGCTTCTTCAATGTGCATGCTCAGAAATATATGCAACAACGAGGTCCAAATTCTTAGCTTTTATAGCTTTACAATAGCATACTCAGACTTTCCGCAGGTAAATACAGTATTACAATATTTATTTAATAAATACATTAAATTATGAAAATATTAGTCCACAATTAAGTCAAGTCTAGCTGTGATAGCCATAGTATCAAGGTGCAATTTTGTCTAAAATGTTTTTGTAGAACTAAGAACCAGTTACCAAATGAGCATGTTCAATAGCTTGGCATTTCTATCCTCACCCTCAAACTTGACATTGTAAGTCCTAAATATTTTAAATTATTAGTTGCTTATTCTAAATTACCTAAAAGTTAATTTTTTCTTAACTTTTTCTACATTATATAGTTCAATGAACCTTTGAAATAAACTTAGTCTTTAGTAGTGCATCTTTAATGAAGCCCATTTCCACCTCAGACTGAATAAAAGGTTATTTTGACTTTATATCTCAAAAGAATTAAAATAAGCATATGCAGCAAAAATTATCATGTTATTTAGTTATAATAATTAGAAATGATCCCATGACCATATATATGACAAGCAGTTTGACGAATGAATGGACGGATGGATATATGAATTTCCATATATACACAGTGCTAGAGAACAGTGAAAAATAAATCCAAGGTATTTTGAGAAATTGGGTTAGTGTGTGTTTGGGTATTTGGGGAATGCAAAGCGGAAGATGCAAGGGGGCCATCGTGAAATGGGTGGAGAAGCAGTGTCGATGGATGAGCAGTGGGATAAAAGGATGGAAAGAGAAGAAGAGTGACAATAAGCATGTCAGAGGGGAGCCTAATGAGGGTCCAGCACTGGGGACAGTGAGGAAGAGTCGGGAGGGGGCAGGAAACACTGCACACATCCTCAGATAGGAAACCTGCCTTTTCTATGAGGCATCCTGGAGTCAAATACTTTAGAGGCTTTGGTTTACTCTATTTCACACACACTCTTTTATTGACTGAGCACATATGGTATAGTTAATGGCTCAAGTGGGGAATGAGGTTTCCTTGCACTGGCAGACAAACTGTACAAGCAAACAGACAAACGCATGCTGTCTAGTCTGGTTATTGTGTTACTTCCTGTTATAAATCAGAATCCCATTAATGGTAAAAGATAATGAGTGAAATATTAACTCCAAAAACACTTTTAAATCCACAAGGCCACAGGCCAAGTACAGCAGGTAATCACATCTGTGCTGATGTAGAGCCATTTTGCACGGCTATGAGTGTGATTTTGCTTTCATACAAGTTTGACAGCTCAAGTGTAAGTAAATATAAAAAAAAATCCTTGAGTGCAGAACTACTTCCTTCTACTTTCCTCTAGTTTGATAGTAGATGTCCTGGCATATATAGTAAGCTTTTTTTTTTTTTTTTTTTTACCTCATTTCCTCATTGCCTAGAGGACAAATTAAGTAAAATGTGGCACAATTTACCCCACTCTCTCCTATAGATATGTGTACATACTATAACAATGAGTCAATGCAAAACGTCCTCAAACCAGTTCAATGAACCAATTGAATTATTTTTTCTGTGGGAGTACTGACCAATTATATTTTGCCTGCTGCCCTCTTGTGTTCTTAGGTAGAGCTGCAAATGGAGGTTTTGAAGCTACAATGACGGTTTGAATGAACATTTTAAAAAACAAATAGTTTAGAAACATATGGTACCGTATAATATTGTTGCTAACAGTGGCGTTGTGATAGCTGTTTCTCCACGTTTTATCTACAGTTATGAATAAAGTAAGCGAAAGCTCGTTTTAATTAAACATTCATATTCATGGATACTAAAAGCTGTAGATTTTGAAAAGATTTTGTATATATAAGAGACATGCAGAAATGTTTCTTTGTGGATTTTATCATGGCACATATTACCTGATCATGGAGCGGTGGTGCCTATCAGCAAATCCCTGAATGAGTGGAACCTAAAATATCCGGTATTTGTTTCCTTTGGTATGTTTACACGAGCGGACCGCAGTATGATGCTGCTGCGATGCCCGACTCTATAGCAATAGTTAATATCATATGGTTTTTGTTAGCGCTGTGTTTTCTAATAGCCTTTTGTCTCTACAAGTTTTCATTGAAACTGCCTCATAGCCTCGAGCACGTGTTTCAGGATTTAATCCGATATGGAAAAACTAAAGAACACATCAAGGGCTCAAATTGGCAGCTCGTTTTTGACATATCAAAGAGGTGATTCGGGATTAAATGTAGTTTTATGTGGCTCTGTATATTCCCCAGATATAATGGTTTGAGCATGCCAAGGCGATAATGCTGGAAACATTTTCTCTGATGTTGATTTTAGGTGTTTCTATCATTTCTATGCGGTGTCTGTCATGTGGAATGGGCTCCTCCTACTATTCTCTTTGTGTTCTGTCGTCATGAATGAGGCTCTCCCTGATTGGTTAATTGATGCGCTTTGGTGTTTGACTGGCAGACCAAGAGCTGCTTGGAACGGTACTTCAAATTACAAAGAATGTTTTTTCTTCTTCTCCACTTCATCTTTCTTTTTTTAAACAATGGCAACCAGTGTGTTACTAGAGTAAAACCGTGATAATATAGTAACCAAATCAGAACAATTCTGAAAGCTCTGTATACACTGTGTTTTTTTTAAATACATTTTTAATATTTTTCTGCTTTAATTTGTTGCAATGTACTTTCCATTTACCATGCAAAGAATATTCACATGCTTACTTGTGTGCTTTACAGAGTTGCATCTCTCCATTCTGCTTTTACAAGTGCTACTATGGGTCCACTCTCTTAGACGGCTATTGGAGTGCCTGTTTGTCAGCGAATTTTCTAATGGTGTGATCCATGTAGTCCAGTATGCATTTGGTTTGGGTTACTATGTCCTACTTGGACTAACTGTCCTGTGTATAAATTCTTCTCTGCCACAATCAGGTTAGTACAGTTTCCTAGTTCAGATCCTTTCATCATTTTGTCACATTGTTTTTTGACTAAAATGCACCTTCATATAGAAAACTCAAAATCTAATTCATGTTAACTTGACCAAAAATATTTCAGTATTTTTTAGCCCAAATGTAGCTGGGCATTTTCCTGAATTGTACGAACTATCTGTGTATTTGTCTCTGCAATACCAGGGTCTCTTGTTAATCAGCTCACATGGCATCATGTAATCGGGACTCTTCTTTTCATCTGGGCATCACTCCTCCAGAACCGGTCCCTCTCACTGCTGGCCAAAATGAGGACTGACAGCTCAGGTAGAAAGCCACTGGGGTTTCCTTAGGAAAAAAGTGTAAACTAATTCTAAGTAAAAATACAAAAAAAAAGTTATTTTCTTCTTAAAACGAAATAATTATTACTTTTAAACAATTGTTTTCCCCTGTTCCCTCTATCCAATCCAGGTAAAGTAGAGACTCTAGCCCACAAGATGCCATGCGGGGGCTGGTTTGAGCTGGTCTCTTGTCCACATTACCTGGCTGAGCTTCTAATTTATGTTGCCATGAGTGTTTGTTGTGGCTGCAGTTCTCTAACCTGGTGGCTGGTGGTACTGTATGTACTCTGTAACCAGGCACTGGCTGCACAGCTCTGTCATGATTACTACAGGAGCAAATTTGAGACTTATCCAACTCAACGCAAAGCTTTTATTCCTTTTGTCCTGTGATTTTTATGTAATAAACTCTTTTATATGGGAATAAGAATCAAATTAATAAAGTATTAACTAAACAAAAACATAGATATCCTTAATGTCTCTCTTTTAAATGGGAACAGCTGACACATTGATTATGCATGTTTAATGTGTAAGGAACAGGGCAAGGAGGGAAATACACACGACATGACCGAAATGGACCGTTGCCCTGACACGTACTGACCTCAAATGGTGATTGACAGCAGCTGCTTGCTTAGAGGCTTAGTTACTGTGAGATGTCAGCAAATGACTTAAAAAGGAAGTGTCTTTTACCACATATTAACTTCCCCAGCTTCCCTGCGTCTAGAATTTAGTCTTGTTAAAAAGAGAATCAATTGAAAGACATATTTTCTGCCCGTTTCCTGCTACTGATCAATTGATGACAGTTTTGTTTGTTTTACTTTATTTGCACTTGCATATGTATTAGAATCAGACTCAGAATGAGCTTTATTGCCAGGTATGTTTACACATACGAGGAATTTGTTTTAGTGACAGAAGCTCCACAGTGCAACAGAATGTCAGTGACAAGACAGGACACAGATAATAAAAAGTATAATATAAAAATAGACAATGTGCAAAAACACAATATATAATATAGACAATTTTGTATGTACAGGTATGATATGTGCAAATTTGAAATGTAAATAAGTATGTGTTAAATAAATAATGTATACTAGTGTTGTGTGTTCCACGATTATTAAGTGTTCATGAGATATTAGGAGGATGTAGGACAAACCATGAGCAAATACAAATACAGAAAGGTTAACATTTATAAAATATCAATGATTAAATCAAATGGGCATTTACAAGTATTAAGATTTTACAAGTTTATGAATTAGTTATTGCTAGTTTCAATAACCATGAGGTCAGTATTGCAAAAGTGTATAGAAGTGTTTATGTACCAATCATCATTGTTCAAAAAAAAATGTCCTTAGAGAAAAACAGATTTGATCTATATAACGTTACACGTAAACCAGCTATATGAATAACGTCTATCAATATTTGAACTTCGTGTAAACAAGATGGAATTTGCACTTCAAGCAAACCATACCTACTATTTCCACTCAGCTTCTAATAATTACATTTTCGAAATGTGAAAATCCGCGTAACAAAGAGGAGCCAAACTAATGTCCGTAAATTATTTTTTGAGCTGAGCAAGTGTCTAATCTCATATTTCCCTTTTGCGTTGCATCTCTACCTATCTTGTAAGCGTTCTTAATACACGTCATTTGGGAATGACGTTTCAACCAATAGTCTACCTCAATTTCAGTGACGTATGTCTCTACTGTACACGTCTATCTCCCAGTTGACCAATCGCGGTCAGATTCTTTAAACCGATAGTTTTGTCTTTGCCTTGGTATCAGTCTCTCTCACCGCGAAGATGACCATGATGGGTTAGCCTGATCGTAGCGACGAAACGTTAATGTATATAAATTAGCGGTTTTATTAGCTTAATTTGCAAAGTATTATCACAACAGAAGCCGTATTAGCCAGCCCTTAAGATGCCTCTTCGGGCCGGCGAGCGGCGTGGCGGTGGCAGGTCCTTATGCTTCCTTATTCTACTAAACGTCGTGTTGTTTTCAGCCGGAGTTATAGCAACTCAAGAAGAGAATAAAGTCATTCGCGAGGAGAAGCCAGCGGAGGTTCGTATGAAACATTTATCATCTTTGCTAGATAACATACATATGTAAGGATGTTTAATAAAACTATAAATGTGTCAAAGAGGTCTTGTGCTGGAAGTAACGTTAGCCGGGTAATTAGGCTAGAAGCACTGAAGGGGAACTAATTTGATTACACACTCTCTAATAGATGTGTCCACGTATTAGGCTGAATTTTTATATTTTGGTATTATATTTTGTATGTTAGGAGTTTGCCCACCCTTCACAAACATGAAGTGCGGGATGAATTAAGACATTTTATTGGTCAGAGACACATTGTGGCATTGAAATTAAGCTTCGATTTGAGGGCTTGAGAGCAGATCAAATGAAAAACTCAAGTGCATCGATCTGTAGTAAGTGTTTTTGTAGTTTTGTTGCTGCTTTTCTTAAGTTTTAACATGGTAAGTTGATCTCAAGGGGACCCAATAAGTCTAGAAATTATTTTCATTTAGTTATAATAACAATCAGCTAAACTGATTGAATATTTTAATTGACATCATATCTTTAATTTATTTGTTTTATTTTAACAGAGGTAAATATCAGCTTAGGAGGGCTGTCAAATATTATCTCTGATAATTGGAGGGCCTTGGAGTCAAAAAGGTTGAAAACTAAAAATCTAAGTTAAAGTAGTATCATAATGACATTCATTCACAGCACACATATATAGAATAAAAATATTATAAGTTTGAAACGTTAACTTGGTGAATTGAATTTATAGGACTACTTGAAGCATTTGAGAAAATGATGTAAAGTTGAACATTCATAACATTCTTGTTAAATTCTTTACATTTCTATGTCCAACTCTACAATATATTTCTTCAGGCAAACTGTTTGGATGAATAAGCAATCGTACTACTACAGAAGTTGACAAAATATCAAGAACTGTTCTGTAATCCTTAATCCTTGCTTTAGATAAAACGCATAAATTCTAATATTAAAAAGACGAATTGTATCTCTAAATATTTATATTGCTTCATATTTTGAATAAATGTGTTGCTTGTAAAAATTGGATTATTGTTACTATTCATTGGATCTGACATCTGAATCATAATTTTTGTCCAGCTGCAGAAGGCAACCTCCGGTCACGCACTCGGCCCGGCAGTGAGTGTCGATGAACCCAATAAGGGAAACCTGGGCTTTATTCATGCCTTTGTGGCAGCCCTCTCAGTCATCATTGTCTCTGAACTGGGAGACAAGACGTTCTTCATCGCAGCCATCATGGCTATGCGCTACAATCGCCTCACTGTTTTGGCAGGCGCCATGTTGGCTCTGGGACTCATGACGTGTCTGTCAGGTAGGTTGTTCAAATGCACCTTTACTTTTTAAATCATGTTCAGATGTTGATTTGCTTCACATCATGTCTCATCTTCCACTTATCACCAATACCTAAAACCTTTGGTGTCACATGACTTTTAGACATCCATAATGTAGAATAAACTATTATCTGACATAAAATGAACCTAGCATTAAAAGAAGCTAGTTTTAAACAAACTCAAGACCCACCTCCTTAAAACAGGGATATTGTCCTGTCCCACCTCAGAGGTCTTGACCTCAATTAAAATGTAAAATTATAATAAATAGTTTAACTATTAAAGTTACACAATAATATAATAAGCAATCAGTAATTGCAAAAGAACATTTGGTCTAAAAAAACAAACTAGCTAGTCCCTAGTGAGTGAACGCTTAATTTGTTAAATTTGCAATCATTTTACCCATTCTGACAATTTTTGGTTTGATTTTAATGTTTAAGGCTAGAAATTGTCATCATCTTTGTCATTTTTTTTCCCAGTTTTTTACATGTCCTAAATTTGATTTGATCTTGCTTATGTGGCTTGTTTTTTTTTAGATTGTCACCTCTTTTTTTTTTTTATTCTCTGGGTTCCTATTCTTTTCTTTCATATCTCTCTCATCTAGCTCATCTAATACATACAGTGTCACTGAAAGTCTTGTGAGATATTTACAGGATATAATTCATCATGCAAATTTTGTAGTAAATTTGCATCCGTCTAAAACCACATCATCATGCCGTACATCATGCCGTCTTATATAATTATTAGGGTTATATTTTAGCTCATAATTCAGCAATTTGACTACTGAGTTTGTCTTTCTATGTACTTAAAATCTAATGCATTAACAGAGAGTTTTTATCTACCATGTGTTATTTATAAAATCCTCTGAATGCACGAATGACCTATTTTTCTGTCTGTCTTCTCATTAGTCCTGTTTGGTTATGCCACCACCATTATCCCACGGATCTACACCTACTACATATCGACAGCACTGTTTGCCATATTTGGTGTGAGGATGCTGAGGGAGGGAATGAGGATGAGTCCTGATGAAGGGCAAGAGGAGCTGGAGGAGGTCCAGGCTGAGATAAAGAAAAAGGATGAAGAGGTAAAAGCTTTGTAGTTCAAGTGTGTTTGTTCACAGGTGTGGCTAAATAACACCCCCTGCATAATTTAAGCATCTTATCTTACCTTTAATTGATTAATTCCCTCTCCTCTCATAGCTTCAGCGCTATAAGCTAGCCAACGGCTCGCCTGATGTGGAAGCGGGGACGGCGTCAACCATATTACCTCAGAGAAGGTGTCACAGCGTGATTTCACCGATATTCATTCAGGCACTCACCCTCACCTTCCTCGCAGAGTGGGGCGACCGCTCTCAGCTTGCCACTATTGTGCTGGCTGCAAGAGAGGTATGTACACAGGGTCCAAAATTAAGACTTATATTCTAAATTTGATTTCTTACCATTTTAAAATTGCTTACCTGGATGGGAGATTTATTTATTTATTTGCTTGCTTTTGTTTTTGTTTTAAATTTTATTCTTACTTAAAGGGGTGGTTGATTGCGATTTCACTTTTTTAACGTTAGTTAGTGTCTTATGTTGCTGTTTGAGCATAAACAATATCTGCAAAGTTACAAAGCTGAAAGTTCAATGCAAACGGGCGTGCAGTTGTCGTACTGTATTAAAGCTTTAATCAGGATAAAACTGTATATTAAAAGCTAACATAAGTAGTAGCATTTACAAATAACAGCGTATCTAAAAGTATGAGACAGCAACAAACAAAAAACATAGGCCTACCATTAAAAGCCGTGCTTGCACAGGTTCTGCACGATCCTCTTCAATAATATCCTCTGCTTCTCAATCGGGCTCAAACTGATAAGCGATATTAACGACGCCGTTGTTTACAATACAACCGGAGCACATGCCTCCGATGTGAGGGGCGGGACCTAGACACACACTAGAAGCGGTTTAGCCAATCACAACACACCGGACCAGCTAACCAATCAGAGCCCATCGCCTATTTCTGAGGGAGGGGCTTCATAAAAGAAGGAAATGATCAGCCCGTTTCTCAGAGAAGGGACAGAGCGGTGTGGAATAAAGGTAAATTATGTGAAAAATGCGTTTTTAAAAAAACGAAGCATCTTGCATAAATGGGTACGAAGCATAATAGGACCCCTTTAAATGTTCCCTCCTGGCGGAATGACCTGCCCAACTCAATCCAAGCAGCCCTTAGTCATCTTCAAGAATTGGCTAAAACACATCTCTTCCATCTTTATTTGACCCTCTAACTCTAGCACTCTCTATTCTAATTCTATTCTTTAAAAAAAAAAAAACTTGTCCCTTTTAGACTTCGCTTTATTGTGCCATCCCAAAGAGGCACAAAATCACTTTCTCAGACTTTTAAATTAAATGTTCCCTCCTGGCGGAATGACCTGCCCAACTCAATCCAAGCAGCCCTTAGTCATCTTCAAGAATTGGCTAAAACACATCTCTTCCATCTTTATTTGACCCTCTAACCCTAGCCCTCTCTATTCTAATTCTATTCTTTAAAAAAAAAAAAACTTGTCCCTTTTAGACTTGCACTCTATTAATTTACTAACTGCTTGTTTTCTTTAACTATCTATTTGTTTTCCGTTTATTTATTATACAATTAACAAAAGCAAAAAAGGCCTCTGACACTAGCTTGCTCTATTCCTTTTCTATTCTATCCGTTTTCTTTTTATTTATTATATAATTTTTAAAAAACCTTGCTACGTGTACTGCGTTAAGCTGAGACTTGTTATAGCACTTGCTTGCATATCATTGCTCTTTTGTTGATTTTGATTGCTTCCATTGTCCTCATTTGTAAGTCGCTTAAACTGATAAGCGATATTAACGACGCCGTTGTTTACAATACAACCGGAGCACATGCCTCCGATGTGAGGGGCGGGACCTAGACACACACTAGAAGCGGTTTAGCCAATCACAACACACCCTATTCTATCCGTTTTCTTTTTATTTATTATATAATTTTTAAAAAACCTTGCTACGTGTACTGCGTTAAGCTGAGACTTGTTATAGCACTTGCATATCATTGCTCTTTTGTTGATTTTGATTGCTTCCATTGTCCTCATTTGTAAGTCGCTTTGGATAAAAGCATCAGCTAAATGACTAAATGTAAATATATTATACTATAAATAAATTTTCTTAATTCCATTAGACTTTTATTCTAAATTATATTTTATAAGTAATTAACTTTAATTAAACATACTTTGTCACTTATTACCATTTTAAATATTCCTAAAGCTCATAAAAATGTATTATTTAAACTACATTGAATTGCATTATTTAATATTATATACATATTCCAGCATTCTCGATAGCTCAATATTAGCAGCTAGCAAATGACTTGAGTGTTGTTAACTGTGAACAACTAAGCCGGTTTTGTGCTGCAGAATCCATTTGGAGTAGCAGTTGGGGGAACATTGGGACACTGTCTGTGCACAGGCCTGGCTGTTATCGGCGGAAGGATGGTGGCTCAGAAGATCTCCGTAAGAACCGGTGAGACGGAGTCATTTAGTACAGTACAGCATGTTCTATTGTTTTGCATAAGCACTGAACTATATCCAGATTTATTTGCTGATACTTCCTGTTGTTATCTCTACAGTTACAATCATTGGTGGAATCGTTTTCCTCGCCTTTGCGTTCTCCGCCCTCTTTATCAAGCCCGATTCTGGATTCTGATGGAAAAACTGACTCTTGGTTTCATTTTTGTATATAAACTACCCAGAACAAGTGCAACAGAGAGAGAGACTGCGCAAAGACTGCAGATGGCTTGTTTATATGTTTGAGTGAATCTCTTTTGTGTGAGTAAAGTATGACTGAATGAATGAATGGAAAAACAATTTACTGCTCATGTCTTAATGAGCATTTCATTTTTTTTTTGCCTAATCCCTCCTTGTTTTTGTCTTTCTTTACTTTCAACCAGGCACTGTTCTGTTTTTAGTTGATCATTATATTTCTCATGTATGCCTCCTCACAGTTTACTTGAACTTGCCAGATTTGTCCGGCACATAGTAACATTTTAAATAACAAATCACGAATCTTGTTTCTACATTGTTTTACCTCTGTTTGAGCAGTGTGCTATCGGCAAATTACTGGCCTGGCTCCAGTCTACCTTATTCAAGTTCAAGCTTACTTGACTACAACAGCTCTAAAACTAAACCCAGATCAAGCACTGTCACTCACCCACTGCACAGCAGTAAATCTACTCGCATCTCAGGAGTATTTAGTGGGTAAGAGCCTCAGCAATATAACAGTCACAATTCCATCATCAATAACAAACTATAGTACTGAATTGAATGCTGAATAATGCTATAGGAACTGCCTGGTGTCTAAACTGCCTGTTGATGGTTTGTCCTTTATTCATACCATATTACCAAAGGCTTTAAATGTAGTATGGATTTATGTGAGATCTGATTACTACATCACATGTGGCCTTTAAACCCAGTCACGGTATTTATTGGTCATCATTGTGCGCTCATAAATGCATTTGTGTTTCTGTGTCACTGGTCATAAAGTGTTAGGGACAGTCATGCTTTCACAGGCTCCCCTGAAAGAAGCACACGGCATACATTTGCTGTCTCCTTGTGAAGGAAGAGTATCATTTCTTAAGTCTGCCCTTTTCTTCCGAATGGTTTTTATTTATTCTACTAAGGAGCACAGATTGATATTTTGTCGTAGTTGATTTGTTCCGTTGAGAAGAATATTTGGTTCTTTTTTTTTACATTTTCAGGGTGACTTTGTCAATATTTGACAGGGTCTAACTTTGGAGAGTGTGCTGATTGAACTATTATAGAAGAACTGCAAAAATGTTATTCCTGTAAATATTGAAATAAAAAGGTCAGTCTCAGTCTGTCAGATGTGGTTATTTTTTCACAATGCGGAAAAAATATTAAATCAAGGAGCAGATGTAATAACCCTACAATGTTAAGAAGCACATTTTTCAAAGATGTTAAGAGAAAAGTATCCAAAAACGTTTTGATGCCATGAGTCACACACTGCATTAGATGCAAAAAATCAAACCAACTGGCATCTGCAAAAAAAATGACACTTCAGCTAGCTTCACTTTTTTAAACCTTTTAGTTTTAAATTATTTTTAGCCAACTAGTCTCAAAGTAAATTTTTGCAGCCATCAAGTTCTTTAAGGTGTCCTAGAATAACCACAGGTGTAGTTCAATACATGTTCCACAGAGTTTGACAACCAGAACTTGCCAAGATTTGTCTTCATTTTGAATTAAATTCCTATAACTTCATATTTTGAAACCTAAGAAACATTGTAAATGTTTTAATTAAAACGTGTGCTTGTGCTATATTTAAATAAATACCACTTGTCATAGATACATGTATACTTTTTTTATGTGGCCAAGACATTCTACTTTTTGGGGCCACTGTAAATATGTATATTTAATTCAGAGATTTTTCCCTGGTCCATATTTTTCTGAGCTTGAAAACGATTAATTGTACGTGATGAATAACATACATTTCTTAGTTATTCTGAAGCACTGGTGGTGACCAGATTTTTCAAATGAAAACGTGGGACTTTTTTTTTTTTCATTTTCTGGTTGTATTTATTTTCATTTTCTCAAGTTGTGAATATACTGTATACAGTAATTACAAATCATACAGTAATTAAAATGTTATTTTATGTTTAAGCTGGAAATGGATCTTTACGATCCCTAATCAGGATTATTATATTGCATTTTAGGTTCATTTTAAGCGCCAAGTATGTGTTTTCTGCAAATGTAATTGTAAAATCATTTAGGTGAACGTTTACAATTCTGTGCAAAACAATCCCGCACCGTTCAGGCCCAATGTAGTACATACAAACGATATTACTTTCATTTGACATAAAAATTTGTACTTGACTACCTTGAAACCGATGACTAATGATAATAGTGTCCTGCTCTCATCCAGGTTAAGTTGTTCATTGCTTAAAGGGGTATCGCCAGATCGGCTTTCACTGTGGACGAAGCGGAGTCCAGCCCGTGGTTGTCACATGTGGTTGCTGCAAGCCCGCCGGTCGCTCCTTCGTCAAATCCGCCAGCCTCCGCTCACTCTAGCCCGCCGTGTGTGACGCTGTGTGTTTCGTTGTGGCTGGATAGCTGGCCAATCACAGCACACCTCGCTTTTTCAGACCGATGAGCTTTGTAAAAATCGACACGTTTCAGAAAGGCGGGGCATAGAGGAGAAACAATAATGTACAGTATGTGGAAAATAATGTGTTTTTTGAACCTTAAACCGCATAAACACATTTCATTACACCAAATACACAAAATAATGTTCTTTTTAGCAACATCATATGACCCCTTTATTAAAGCTGCAGTCCGTAAGTTTTGCCTCTTTGTCGCCATCTCTGTTTGAAAACCTGCAATTGCAGCTGTCTGCGGAATTATCTTCCTTGCGTGGGTTGTGCTCCGGCATGGCTCCAGCGCGGACAACCCTCCCGTTTTTCCCAGGATTCTCCCGTATTTTACCATTCTATCCCGCTATCATCCCGTTTAAATATTTTCCCGTATTTCTCCCATATTTTCAATCTTTCTAAAAAAAAAAAATCCCACTGGGCGTATTTTATATGTTTGCTACATTCGCCTCCGGTAAAACTCTCGTAATTTGTATGGCCCAAACCTCATTATATGAATAATCACATCAACAAATTTCAAGGTTGCCCAGTTGCCAGATCTTGTATGAAACGCTTCCTTCTCACACAATCGACACATACAAATGTCAACCCATTTGTCACCTCAACTTGGCAACCTACAACAGTGATGACTACCATGGGAAGGAAAGGATCACTGGTAGAAATGGGACGGGAGGAGAAGACTCAGGTGGTGCTCCGGTGAAAAAAAACATATACATGCAAATTGAGATATTGCTTACACTTCAAAAGGCTATGGTTTAATTGTTTAAATATGAGCACTGCAAGTTGCAAAATCAGGTGCTGCGCTGCTTTGTTTACTGCGGTTACCGGGGAAATGGCTATATTCCTGGCGAAAAGCGAAAGAATGAAGAGAGAATGAATTTGCATTTTTCAATAAGCCCTTCTGCTTTTTGTTTTAGTCCAAAGCCAAAAACGACCCTTATTTGTACGCAGAAAACACTCAGTTTGATATGCACGCAGTTTAAATAATTGTTTGATAATAATAGTTTAAATTAATATAATACTATAATATAATAATTGATACTTTTGATCCCGCCCGAACCACCCACCCATACCCCCCCCTCTCTCCCTCCCTCCGGTATTTTGGGACCCAAATGTTGACAGGTATGAGCGCGGATGAATCTAATGTTTTGAGGAGTATGTGTGGCAGTCAGTCACTGCTCCGGTGTGGATATTTAATGTACTTCACAATCACAGATTCTAGCCTACATCTTGGAATATATGACCCAAATAAGAATTTTCACCGTATATTGCCATCTGAACACGTAACAAGTCTCCCACGTTTGTTCTGACCAACTGAGGGAAAAAAGCATTACAATAAATTGCGCTACCAATGGTGATTTAATCTAAAGATCAGTTAGCTCATGTCACATCAAACCATGCAAATAATTATTATTGTTATACTTTATTCTCCAATTATTAATGTTAACAACATCAGCATTGCCTATAGTGTGTAGTAGCGTGTAGATTTCAATTTCTGTAGTCTCTCTAATTGTCATACCATTCAAATTTCATATTAAGAAATTCTTCTAGACCAAAAAGCAAATTATGATCCCTTCAAACTGGTTGTCTTAAAAATACAAATCTTTGTAATCCCAGACTATCTGTAATCAGAAGTACATTTAAATCTGGAATATAATTTAATTTCATTCACGTGTTTCATAAACAATCCTTTCTGGATTACAATCTGCCATCGAAATGATACATTTAATTATTCCAGCTGCTGTGAGAAAAGGCTATAAACGATCCGCCACCTGCAGGATCCTCGCATGCGATAGCCTAGTAGCAGGGACAACTTCATGTTTACAGACGTGACGTAATGACGCAGTGCCATGCTCGAATTTCCCATGAAAACCTACCAGTACCACTCCAATTAGAAAACATTATTATAAGCTAACCGTTGTGAATCAGGCTAAAGGCGATAGTTTTGAACACTGGCTGGTTATGTACTTGCTCAAATATTGATTTCGGATAATTTTTAACCAAAAAAAGTTAAGGACTGCAGCTTTAAGTAATAATGAAGTAATGGCGCGAGAACAAGTAATCAGTGTAGATTGCTTGCAGCCTCTCTGAAAAAAATTAAATAAATAATTTGGGGTGTGATGTTGCTGTTTTACAACAGTTCATTAACAAGAAGTTAATATCGAGTAACTTACATTTTTAACAGGATGATAGTTCGTCGGTTTTCCAAACGAAAATAGTTCCAAAGGAAGCCAAAGTTCGGATTTGGTGATCGTCTCCTAGCAACAAACTGTGATTCGAATCTTTACTTGAACAAATCGGTTGAGTGAATGATTAATTGACTCAACTGGAAAAAATCCCTTCTACCAAAGCACAAATCTAATTTATTAAACTTATTTAGAGGAAAACAATCACACCAAAAAGTATAGGAATAAAAACAAGTCATGACAATGTGAATATATATATATATATATATATTTATATTTTTTCATAATTTTATTTTCAAATTTGAATAAGGGGAGTAAACGGCACTGTTTGTTTAAAAAGGTTCCATTATTTCTTTGTTAAATGTAAGAATGGCCTGGCTCACAAAATGAACCCAATACAACACACTGTTTTCTGATATTACAGATTTCTTTTTTCTTTTCTTTTTTTAAATTGAGTTTAGGAAAACAGAGCTATGCTCTGGTAGCCCCTGATGGAGCATTAAAATGGGATAAAACCTAACAATGGTGAGAGTTTAAACCTATTTATTGGTTTAATTAAATAGTTTGCTATTTTTCCTCCATATTAATGTGTACTGACCAGATAAATTTCATGAGCCAAACACAAGTGCTCTGCAAAGAACATCACACGTACAAAGATTAAATGATAGCAATAGAACACTGATAGACATTCAGAACTTCTAGTGCGTACATCAGAACTACAGAACATTTAACATGGTTCACCACCTCCTTTTCCACTGGGCGCTTTTAATATTTCAAAAACAAATTCAACAGGATTTTGCCATGTTCTCCCATCTTTTCTCAAAGCTCTTTGGGTTAAAACACCAGCTGACATGGAGTTGCATCGAGCACCACAGACAATTCAGAGGTACATACTGTAGAGGGCAACCATTTTGTATCGTCCTGTTTGTGTGTGTGTGTGTGTGTGTGTGTGTGTGTGTAAATGCAGAAGAATGTGTGTTTTTGAAGAGGTCACTATCACAAGATCAAGTGAAGAAGAGAAAGGAGGGGCGCGATTGATGTGGGTTTATTATTATTCTGAACCAACCTGAGGAAGCTGTAGTATTTCTGTTACCTTAGGGCTGACATAATACAAATCAGTGCAGAAAACAGAAAAACAACCCCTTGTACTCTAAAACATCATCATGCGTCAACAACTGACATCTGATGCCGGCGCGAAAGGATGCACTATGCATCAGAAGGTCATTTTCGACCCGGCCTGAATTTGTATAGGTGTCCTATACTTTTTAAGCAAGATTTGTTTTAAAAAAAAATTATTACCTTCAAGTACCCCAAAACATAAGCAGGAGTCTGTAGCAAACATCAAAGACCTCTCTTACTCAGGCAAAAACCTTAAAATAACCACTTCCTAATCCAACTGCATTGTGGGGAGAAAGTTCAACTGGTCCTCCAGTGTGTCACAGTTTGTTTAACTCCTTCATTTGAGGTTACAATATGGAGTAAGCTTAATTTTCTGTTCCCTTTCCTAGCAAAAGGTGTATAACAGCTGTTTTATACACCAACTATAGTCTATCTGCATAAATTCTCTGTTCTGACCTTGCCGTAGAAAAATAAGAACATCTAATTTTCAATATATTCCTCTTTATAATGTTCTTTAAATGTTACTATAAAGCTAAGTGACAGTTTTACATTCAATCAATAATCTCGCCTTGCTCATTCTAGCAGTGCCTTCATAAAATTTCTGTGGTATTGAAATGTACAGCCATCCATCACTTTTACACGACCACAGAAACCAACACATTAATGACCGTCATAGACCATAGGACTGTCTCGAAGGGTAGAAGAACAATAGGATGAGTTAGATTACATTATCACACTGCATTATCATAGATCACATGAGTTATTCTGCTATTGAGTGGATACTGCAACATGAACTGTGATTGGACCAGCACTTCGGGTGGTTGGATTTAACATCCCGCACAAACCAAACATTCACTTTCATATATAGTGAGGTCTGATATGGAAAATATTGGAATGAACTACACCTGTCTACTCGTACTAACCTGACGAAGCAATATTGCTCATTAGTGCGCTTACTTCTGATGATTAGAATAATAATTAAAACAATTAATAACACAATCTTGTCTAAGAAGACCAATACAAAAAAAAATACAAAAACTGTCATCCATAAGTGCTACCTGTTGATAAAAGTGACTTTTATAATAAAAAAAAAATAGTGTTTAAGATTTCTTCATAAGGATAAAAGGGTTCCATCCATCATATAGAGGAAAACATAATTATTACTTTTGAACATTCATGATGGTTAACTACTAACAACGTCCCATTGAGCAACTTTGGGGAAGCTTTAATTCTAGCAATTACTGTCTTGTCAAGCATAAATATAAATCTCAAGATCCTGAAGACACAGTTAAACAGTTTAAATATCAAATTAATCAACTACAGTCTGGCTTATTTTAATTGTAACACTACAGAGGCCAATAAACAGAATCTGATTGTCAACATTAGGGTTGTTTTCTGTGCTTTGGACAACGAGCTAGAAGTTGCTAGTGACTATGTCAGCGTTACAGAGGTACTAGTGAACCGATACATTCCTGCTTTTCCAGAGCTGAGTGGAAGGAGGTTGCAAAGTCAAATTGCTATCATTGAAATGTCATCATTTGTCAACGAGCGGAGACCCAAGAAAGGCAAGTGACAGTATTCCTGCATTAAAGCTGTGCAAATATGTGATAATTTACTATCTCTAGATGATAAACAGGTTTGGTTGTGTAAAATATTTCTGGTTACTCAAACCTATTTAGTGAATCATACCTAAAACACTGTATAACAGTGTAAACAACCATGTAAACCATTGTAAAACTAGAGGACGCTATGGCTTAGCCTTAAGCTAATTTACCTGTATCCTATGCGATTATATTTTTCCTCATCATAACCTTGCTGTTTTAAGCATCAGTTCCAGTTTGGCAGAGTATGTAGCTATCATCGGTACATAATAGTGAATGTTGCGAGGCCGCTGCCAGCCGTAAGCACCATTTCCTACTTTTTTTCCCCGCCTAATCGCATGATATACTAAATCTGAAGCCTTCTCTTTAAACTATTTACAGATGTAAAACATCTCTCTGAAATATATCTATATGTTTGCAATTACTAAGGTGTATAACACGATGCAAAACATCTAAAGATTGCCTGTTCCTTTAACAGTGTTACTAAAACACGAAGGCCGTTTTAAACCAACTGTGACACGATCTGTGGATCCAGCATTGGCAGACACACACACATACGAACAAGCACATACACACACTCACCCCCATCCCACTGGAAAAAGGAAGTCTGTGAAGAGATCAGCCATTATGTGTATTAAGTTTAGCTTTTTTCCTCTGAATATTAGAAAAAAAAAGTATATTCAAAGCTACAAATAACAGACTACGCTTTTCGTCTCATGCATCATATAAAATATTAGTTTCTCTGTCCTTTTGTCCTTATATTTACACATTATTTTACAGGTGAACTGTACAATAAAAGTTGAATCCACGTGATAATCTTAAAAATATTTTCTGACCCATAATTACTTACGAAAAGTAAAATGAGGAGGAAAGAGGAAGAGAAAGAGAGGCCAAGAGAAAGACGCCGTTTGTCCTGCGGGACTTCTTTAAGTATTGAAGCCTTCGCTGCAGCTCGTTCTGCATAAATTAAACCTGTGAAAGAGGGATGACGGCACACACTGGGCATACGAGACAAAGGGGATGCGGTTATTGTGGTGGAGACCGTTTGCGGAAAACCAGACGCCGCTGTTTCCTCGCTAGCCAGCAGAAAGTTGGGCTTTCGTGGTCGGACCTCTCCCAGAATTCAGTGCAAGCAGCCGTTGATCAACTACCTATAGGTCGGAGAGGGCACGGGGTGAAAAAACAACACCCGTTTAGGTCTGGCCCTTCACCTATAAGCAGTGGAAGGGTATCTGAGAGGGTACAGTACAAAATACTGCTATTTTTTAGCTCCAAACATCCCCCTCAGAAGCCCCTCAGCCTGCAGCACTGCTCAGTGGAGATTGGGTTGTGTCCCTGACGTGCGGTCAGCTACTGAGGTGGTGCTTTGGACCGGTCCGTCATGCTGTCTGAGCGATGAGCTGCCAGTTGCTGCTGCAGTTGCTGCTGCAGCTGCTGCTGCTGTTGTTGATGTTGATGTTGCAGCTGTTGTTGTTGTTGTTGATGCTGCTGCTGCAGCTGTTGTTGCTGCTGTTGCTGCTGCTGCTGCAGTTGCTGCTGTTGCTGTTGTGTTGCGGCTGCAAAGGTGCCTTGCTGCTGCAGGGGAAACGCTGCTTGAAGGATCAGCTGGGCAGATTGGTTGCCATGTAAAAGCCGAGGGGCCTGCGGGAGGAAGCACGAAACGTTATTATATATGGCAGGGATGTAGTGATATTGAATTCCTGGTTGATACCAATAAGACAATAATTAGTTTCATGTTATGGCCAATAATCAACATGACCAATATTATACGGTCATCTGAAAAAGTTAGGAAACCCTATTGAATTCCATGGTTTTCCGTATCTGGACATTCTAAAAAATATCTACAACAAAATAGCGAAGACCGCAATAACAACAGACAACCACATTGCCAAGCGCTTGTGAGCGAGAGGGTATGAGATAGCCCAGCTTTGGTTTAAAAGAGTTCAAAAATATTTGTTATCGGTCATAACTTATGGGGAAAAATAGAGCAGACACTGGACATGGATGAAGCTTTCTGGAGCGCATGTGTTGACCGCCCGTGTTCACGCACAACATCAAATGGAGTATACGTTGAAAGGCTACACGTTCGACTGTATCCGCTAGCGTACGCGTGCAAAAAGGAAGTATACTTTGGATAGACTTCTTGCAAAAACATTAAACTCTTAACCCCAAAATAATAACTTTTGAATGGTAGTGTATATTTATTATATTTTCCAAAATGTTTAACATTTAATAAACCTATCATGTGATTTTAATACTTTATAATTTTAAAATAACTGAAAATAAACATTGTAAATATCAGCTACACAGATAAAAAATTTTTTCAAATAAAGAAACCGCAGTCAAAAATTTCAAGCATTTTGAAAATGACATTTTAAACATTTTTGGAATAAATTGCCATTCTTTCATTCAACTTCTAAGCTTCAAATCAAGATGCACTATAAAAGCATTCCATAGAACTTCTATGCTGTATTCCAGATCTTCTAATAGCATTGCGTGTGGAAGACACAGAGGTTTAGGTCATTATTCACAAACAATCGTCACAGCCACCCTATCCATCCATTTTCTATTCAAGGTGGTATGAAACAGAAATTGTGAGAATCGTGTGGTACCTGTAGGAATTGCGTTTGCTGCTGGGCAAGCTGAGCCTGGGCCTGTCCTTGCTGTTGGGCTGTTCCTGTAGCTGTCTGTGACTGCGTTTGCGCCTGCTGCTCCGGCGTCTGCGCAGACGGGGTGATGCTGATTGTTTGAGCCTGGCCCTGCTGCGGGGCAAACGCAGTCACCACCTGCCCCATGAACATGGTGGTAGGCACCATAACTGCACCACACGCCATTGGGCCGGTTACTAGCTTAGTGAGGAGCTGTGGGGCAGCAGGGAACCTGTGGGAGGCAGGATGGCAGGTTATTAGTTAGCTTTGTTATGAGTTTCTGTTGGGACCAGTTGTACCGTGACATGGTCAGCAGTCCAGAGGCATTTTTGAAAAATGTTTTATTGTTCATTCATAAATAACCAATAGGTTTCCATAGCTATAGGAGCTATATATACAAAAAGGAAATGGAGGAGAGATGAGATTAATGATAATTTTTTGAGCTAGTCTAGTATTCTAATGTGCTTATTAAACTGTGTACATGCCCTTCATGTTTCAAAGTCTCAATGTGTGTTTGTAACAGCTGCACATGTACCGTATCTGCCGGTCTTGTGCGAAGGTGGCGACCGCAGCTCCGCTGGGGCTGCTGTTCTGGGCCAAGCTTGTGGAGATCTGGACAACGTTAGCCTGCGCCGGCTGAGAGATCATCATGGTATTATACAAAGATGCAGGCAGTGCTCCCTGAGGAGACTGCAATGTGTGAGACGACCTCTGAGACTGCTAAAAACAAACAGAGATAGAAAGAACTGATGTTAGACTATATTATTTTATTTACGTTTATATTAGTGCTGTGCAACGATTAATCACGATAAATCGCATCCAAAATAAAAGTTTTTGTTTATATAATATATGTGTGTGTACTGTGTATATTTATTATGTATATATAAAAGACACACACATACAGTACACATTTTGAAAATATTTACATGCATTTATATTCATATAATTTATATTATATATAAATATATTTAATATAACATATTTTTCTTAAATATATACATGCATGTGTGTGTATTTATATATACTAGGGATGTCAGTAGATTACAATTTTAAATCTAATTAATTACATAATGCTTCGATTAATCAATCTAATTAATCGCAAAATATATTTGACTGTGAAAATACCCACAAAAGATTATTTACAGCTATTTTTGTTACATGAGAAAGTATCAATTACAAATTGTAGCTTTAGAAAGAAATATTTGATTTGATTCAACATAAAATTAATTACACATAAGCATTTAGGCTATAACGGCCTAACGTAAACTATGGAACATAAAAGAAGATAATTTGAGAAACATCTCAGTATTTTTTGATCATACAATGAAAGTCATTGGTAACTAAGCTTGCTTTGTTACCAACAGTCTTCAAAATACCTTCTTTTATGTTCCACAAAAGAAAGTTCTGAAACGGCATGAGGGTGAGTAAATGACGACAGAATTTAAATTTTTTGGGTGAACTATCCCTTTAATGTTTTTATTTATTTATTTTTTTTTAAATGAAATTATACTCTAAATAAGAAACTAAATCTGCCAGCAGGTGGCAGTACATGCCTTCATGATTTGTTCAAACGGCTGATTCATTCGGGAAAGAAGTAAACTGCTCTCTCTTTATGAATGGGTCTTCGAATCATTGATTCACTTGATTCATTCAAAACGCGGATTCATTCTGAAACTAGGGCTGCATCCGAAAACTGAAAAATGCTGCCTTCGGAGGACGCATTCCAAAGTAGGAAGGCATCAAGGCACGTCCGAATTCAATGTTAGCTTCAGTTCCTGTCTCCTGAGATGCCTTCATCTGGCCGATTTTTGAAGGCAGCATAGATGTATCCTT